TAATATCACTGTATTTTTTTACTTTGTCTATGGAGAAAACACACAAATTGAGAGACAGCAAGCTGGGATAATCACTTCTTCCAGAGTTAGAAATTTACCAGGTTTGCCAGCACATACAGGGAGCAGACTATTGCCAATGTCGCATTTCAAACAAAGGTGGACAGAATGGCATGGATTTGGCCCATTTCCCAAAAGGAGAACCAAGTCACAAGACAATACATATTGATGAGCCCATGACAAAACCCGAATGAGCGCATCCGCAGTGCAACAGGGCTGTTCTGTCTCTGCCGGCTGAGGCTTCCCGGGAAGGCCGTCATTCTGCCTCCCTCTTCTCATCACGTAAGAATGAACAGCTTTTTCTCAAGCATTACTTCATCTGTTACACAATCTGCTGTAACTTCAAGGCAGAAGTTAATTCAGAAACACAGTCCAATTAACTGTGTACAAAGACAATTTGAAGTTTTGTTTCCATTTAGAAAGACTGCTGTCAGCTGCCCCAACTACATTATTTCCTTATGTATCTCACACAGATGTTCTGAATTACTCCACCTCCTTAAACACTCAAATACTTCACAATTAGTTGAACTGTGGATGTGAGTCATCGAATTTCCTTTTCCAGTAAGGGTCACTATTGGAAAATTGGCACACCAAGGCTAAATAACCATGTTACCAATGCAAATTATAACTTTGGTTCCAGCGAATCAGTGCTCTGCTTTCAGCAGTTTCTTACAGCAATAATATTATGTACTGCAGAATGAAAGGGGGAAAACAACTAAATTAACCTTGCTACCCACCATCCATCTTCAAAACCAGAGCACAGCAGGGGAGAATTCAGTAATCCAAATAAAAGGGAAAAAAGTGAAACGCCTTCCAGTAGTAAACTCTTGCCACAATACATTCACTGGCAGCAGAAATTGTAGAAATTGTGTACAGTCATCTTGCATGTAAGGAAAAAATGGTGGAAAATTTAACAAGTTTAGCGGTATGAAACCAATGCCTACATTCTGACGTAAGAGCTCCAAATTATCTTTAAGGATTGATCAACAATGCAAAAAGCCAGAATCTGAGTTAACAACACTGACTTTTATACTTTTCCTAAAATGCTTACATCTTCTTCCAAATGCAGTGTTCTAGGAAGTAGAATGCTCTCAAGTATCTGTAAGTATATTATCAAGGTGCTCCAAAGGAATGTAATTTATTGTCTCTAAAACGTCCAGAAGATGATTATAGGACAAGAACTGCTTGCACTGTGAACTACACTTAACAGGGTTGCCCAGAGTGCCTTGCACCCCTTCCTCAATAGCATCCGATAGTCCATACTAAATACTGAAAGATATTAACATTAAAGGATAATAATGACAAGACACCTACTAAAAAAAGGATAATAATGACAAGACACCTACTAAAAAACCAGTGCCTTGCTCATACTTCTGTGGAAGACCTCAGAATAAACACAAGGAAACAAAAAAAAAAACAAAACCAAAAGCACAAGGAAACTAAGAACTCCTCAGCTAGACGAGACAAGGAAGAACACACATACCTCTGTTAACCCTGCCTTAACACTTCCCCCACAGAATTAGAGCATAATTGTTGCAGGTTTTCCAAGAAGCGAGAAGCGACACCTCGGCTCACTTGGCCCAGTGGCAAGTCCACACGCAGTTTGTGACAAGCCCTCAGAGAGACAAAAGTCTCTTAAAAAGCCAAGATTTACGGGCAATGTGCCAGAGTGATAACTTGATCTAGGAATAAACCTAATGCAAGAATGAGGAACTAAATGCTTCCTGACTCTTAATGCCAAGAAACCATCACCTCCTCCTTTTGAAGGGCAGTGTCAAAGGTAGTATTTGCAACTCATAAGAAAGAACAGGACAGTAAAGGAAGTTGCCCCTTGTTGCCTCTCCTCCTGTTACAAACCCTTTGAAGACTATGCTCATCTTGCTGGAGATACAAAGAAACATCTCAGCTGACATCAGCCCTTCATACAGTAAAGTATTAAATAAACATAGTTGTCAAGACGCAATGTAAAGCTTGTCTTCTTTTAAAAGAAATTGGCACGGAGCAAGAGGGAGCAGTATACCTTGCAGGCAGAAACCAGGGACAACTCTTTCAGAAGGAATACAGCTTACTTCTTGGTTAAAAAAAAACAAACACCAAAACACAACCCCAAAACACCAACACATACCACACAAACACCTGGGCAAAGTCTGTAACGAAACCAAAACTCACTTGGTGTCCCACTGACTGCAGTCACAGAAAGTCCTACTCACTTTCATTCCCGATGTTGAAATACCCTGAATCAGACACCCAAAATCATTAATCGCTTTGGAAAGTTCTGGGAAGTGGTTTTCCTGTGGAGTCACATCCGGGTGGCTTTTCAGGAGCGGTATGTCTGTGAATAATCACCATCTTTCTACTAAAATTGCCTAACCAGAAAGTGAGTTTGATGTTAAGTCTAGGCCTTTGCACAACGCATTAATTTTTTCAAAGTTGTAATGTAATTGAAAGGAAAAAGAGAAGTCACCAGTGACCCATTTTCTCAAGGTGAGACATCAATGATTCTCTTTTTACACATCCCATAGCTGAAAACAAAGATAATTCAAGCAAATTAGCTGCTACTTCCTAAACGTTTTGTCATTTACAAATGTACCTTTGTTGACTGTGGGCCTTGGTTACAACTTCTTTAACAATTCTGCAGGGGTTTTGGTGTTTGTTTTTTAAAAGACTATATTCTATCAGATTCTGTGCTTTTTAATAACTACGCTTATTGCCATGGAAAAAGATGTATTTATTGCGTTCTTTATATATAACTTTTGTTACTCTGGCAGATTCGGTGTGCCTGCAGCCCCAAAGATACGGAAGTTTGGTCTGTTATCTTTCAGCTGAAAATGCACCAGGAGCGAACGCGGACTGCCAGGCGAGGCTCACACCTTCTGTACTGGAACCACGCGTCTGAAGACATGCAAGACAGCTCCGCCAGCCCAGCAGAGAGCAAGGGGCACCCCTGCTCCAAAACATCTGCCACATCCCCCCTTCCCTCGGGGAAGGCTGTCGGGCCAGAAGAGCCCCCGGATCCCGACCACGCGTCCACCCTCCCCACGCCGATGCCCCGGCACCTCCATAGCCAGCAAGGTCTACCTGCGGGCGGCGAAGGCGGGGCAGCCCCGCTCCCCGGAGAACCGGCACGGCGCAGAGCATTCGCCGCACCGCGCCATTCCCGGGCGGCGGGGGCGATGC